TCAGCAGGGATTAGCTATCTACAAAGGCCTGTAATGGACCCTCCCAGGGAGAGGAGTTGGGAAGACAGACTGTGAGGGGAAGTAGGTCTCCCTGTGGGGGTTTTGTGGTGCTGGCTTTAGTGAGCATTTGCTATGTGCAGGACATCTGTCAAAGGTTCTACTTTCCACAACATACATGTAAAGAGGAACCATCATTATCCCCAATTTGACAAAAAGAAACAGCGCTTGGGAAGGTATTGCAGCTTGCCTAAGATCCCGCAGCCAATCAGGGAAACCCAAAGCCCATTCACATAGTGATTTGCAGGACACAAGGCCTAAAGTGGAAAGTGGGACTCTGGGGTTCTAGAACCTCATAGCAAAAGGACCACGTGAGGCTCAGCCTTGGGTTACAGGGGCAAAGGCCTGGCCAGGTGCCAGAGAGCAAAAGTGAGAAGGGAGCTCCAGTGGGTGATCTGTGAGGAAGAAGAGAAGTAGTCGAGCTCAGCTTCCCTGAATCCCCAGCATTGAAGACTTGATCAAATCTGACCTGAATCTGCCACCTGTCCACCCTTTTCTTCCAGGTTGCCAATGTCCTGACCATCCCCACTCCCCACTCCATACCTCAGCCCACACTCATGGCTCCTGGGACCTCTTCTTCCCTGGGCCCCAGGCAGCCCATTACACTCCCCTCATCTGCCCTCCTAGACAAAATAGGCTTTGCCTGGCTTATGTCCTGCCAGCACACTGTACTAAGGCCATCCAAGCTTGCAGAGGCTCAGAGAGGTCCCCGGGATGTGCTTCCAAGCTCCCCTCACTCACCTGCCTAAACCCAAAACCCACAGAGCTTGTATACACACCTAGATAAGATGTCAGGATCCCTCCCTCCAGCAGGTGATGAACATTTACATAAATAACCTGGGTTCAAGGGAAGCTGATGGCAGTCTAGAAGGTACATCAAAAACCTGGGCAAGCTGGGCACAGTGGCACATGCCTGTAATCCCAAGTGGCTCAGGAGGCTGAGGCAGGAGAATCTCGAGTTCAAACCTACCCTCGTCAAGGGCAAGGTGCTTAGGAGCTCAGGGAGACCCTGTCTCTAAATAAAATACAAAATAGGGCTGAGAATGTGGCTCAGTGGTCAAGTACTCCTGGTTCAATCCCAGTACCCACCCTGCCTCCCCCCAAAAAAAGCCTGGGCAAATTCAAAGGGAAAAGGCCCAGAGCAAGGAGATAGAGAGACAGGTAGAGGAAAAGACAAATGATCTGGGAAGGAGGAAGGAGGAGGGCAAGGAAAGGGTCTCAAATACTCAAGGGCAAAGGTGGACAAAGCACCTGCTGCTCTTGTGCAGAAGCTCTGGACTGGGGTGTGAGAAGGAGAGGTACCTGCAAAATCAGTAGTCCAGGTGGGCTCTGAGCTCTAGCACAAAGTAGTATGATTGGATGGGTGGTAAGGACTGCCTATGCCCCAACTGCCTCTTATGTTAAAAAGGCCACAGGCACCTACTTTTAAGTGTGGCCTGGCCACTCTTATCATTGCAGCAAGGATGGGCTTGGTGTATAGGTCCAGCTCCTACTGAAGAGGCTGACAAAGCTACTGCGTGGGGAGACCTTGACCACACAAAGGAACATGGTGAGACTCATGGCCATGTGTCAGGGTCCTATAAATAACTGCCACTGCCCCTTCCTTTAATGAGCATCTGCTGGGCATGCCAGTGTAGTGTGTGCATGGACAGCCCTGGGACCTCCCACTCCCAGCTGGTACTCCCCACTGTCCAGCCTGCTCAGGGAAGGCCAGCCAGGAGGGGGAAAGTACACACTTCCACCCTGGTCATGGCCTCTCCCATGTTCATCACCAGCCCAGCTCTGCCAGGACAAGGCCCAGCCTCCTTGACACATGCTCCATGAGGACTCTCAAACCTTTCTCCAACAGAACAGATTCCACCCCCTGCACCCCAGCTGTCCTTCTGCCCAGCCACCCCATCCCCCAAGGAGTTCTGTCCGCCAACCTCTAATCCTCTCTGTCATCTGACCCAGGCTCCACCCTAAACTGGCTTTGCCCAGCCACCCTTCTGAGGCCCAAAAATGGACACAGTCATTTATAGAGGGTCCGACACGCCAAACGCAATGGGAAGATGACCTCATGGCGCCCACAGGCCTGAGCTCAGGCACACTGGGGGTGGCTGAGAGGCCAGCAGTGGCAGTAGGAGACCTTACAGGAATACGCTCCTCATGAGCCAGAGCCACATGCAACCAGGTCTTTGATAGTGTCCAGGGACTCAGCCTAGGACAAGGCATCTGGCTCACATCTAGATAGGATTTGATGAACAAGGGACAGCAAAGTAGTACACGACACAAATCGGCCCACCCACAGGCCTGTTTTAGGGCTCCCAAATCAATCCCCCCAAATGCCCTCATTTGTTCATAAACACTAAGCTCCTATTGGGTGATTTACCTATTGGTAAATGCCCAAAGTGCACACATATGGATCTGCCCTAATCAGTGGTAGAGGCAGATGGATCAGTGGGTAACAGCAACCCAGGATCCATGGAAAGACACAGAGGAGACCTGGTTCCGTGACTCCCATAGAGATCCACAACACCAGAGGACAGGGTGCCCTTAACCACACTGTGACCCCCTGAGTCTCAATGGATGTTTGAGCTGAGATGGGGTGTGCGGGGAAGAGAGGATGAACGATGGGGGGCACTTCTTCCTATATGAATATCATTTGACCCTTCCACCATAGCTCCTGTTATTCTTCGTCAAAAAATGCCCTCCTATGACAAAAAAAAAGGAAATAGGAATTGTCCCGTTATTCATTGATTTGACTGAGGCAAGGTAAGGACAGTGGTGGGGCGATTGTAAGGCAGCAGGATTGAAGTTCCATTAGCGATGGAAGTTAGAATGGGTCCTGAACACCACCAGAAGATGCTGAGGAGGCAGCCCTGTGAGTAACAGCCAGCCTGTGACAGATTCTGAGTGGCAGGAAAAGCCAACAGAAGAGGCTGGTGTGGATTGAGGTATGGGGAGCAGGGCCTGCAGCTGGGCCAGGAAGGAAAAGGATGGAAGGAAGTCTACGTTCAAAGACAGCCATGATGCCTGTTACACTGCCTTGGCTTCTGGTGGGGTGAGGGTGCCTAACTACTACCCATGGGGAAGAGAACAGCTGTGGCACTAAGCAACTGCAGTTCCAAGAAGCCCAGGTTTGGGCAGGGCCTAACCTGCTGTTGGCAAAGTCCAGCATCCATTGCCCACCAATTGTCAGCCAACTGCCCAAGACCACAGAATAGGGGTTGAAGAGGGAGCTCAAGCCAGGCAGGAGCTCCCAGGCCGCTGTGAGCCAGTGACACATGGCCACTTACAATAAGGGGACACAACTCATGCCTACTTTGCCTAGAATTACATCAAAGATGATGCTTCAGAGAAAGGCAGTTGGGGCAAAGGGGCACACCAGGAGCAATGGGGAGCCAGGTAGGAGATGGACATCAGCAGAAGGGGACAGGGAACCTGTCTCAGCGAGCTCTCCGATTCCTATTCATCTTCCTCCTCCTCTTAGGATCAGGAAACAGGCTCAGGCCCAGGGCTGCCTGCTCCAGGCACCTAGATGGATTAGCCAGTCATGGGGAGGAGGGGGAGCAAGAGTAACTGCTGCTATCCCTCCAACCTGGAAGATGTAAGTCTTCCCAGCCCCCACCAAGCTATTCCTGGGGCTCTAATCCCTCCTCCTGGGGTGGGGTAGGGGAGCTGGGGCTGGCCAGATTTGGAGCCTGGCCCACAGCCCTTCCCTCCACACACAACCCACCTCCTTAGCCCAACCACAAGGATAAGCACTGGGACTCAGGGAGACACAGGGGAAGCTTCCCCCAACCCCCCACCCCCAGCGCCATCACGTGACTGCATCCTTAGGGAGCCCGCAGGTCTCAGCTGCAAAAGTCATTGTTTATAAACAGCCACAAGGCCTGCTGAGGAAGGCCGGCTGGTCCCCGGGTCCCCACCCGGACCTCCACGGAGCTCTTGGGGGGCTAGCTACCCTGGCAGAAACACGGATTCTACATTCTCAGATTTCAGTAAGAATCGTCAGGGGGAAGTGGCGTCAGCAGCTGGCGTGATCCAATTCAATAAACCAGAGATGGCTTGGGATAAAAAGCTGACCCGGCAAGGACCCCCGCCTCCCAATCCCTGCATTTCCTGCACAGTCAGGGTGCCCCAGGAAGCCCCGACACCATCCCCCCGCGCCAGCTGGGAGTCACTCTCGGCGAAGAGGGGTCGGATTTCCTGCGGCGCCCTACACGCCCCTACTCTGGGACAGGTCCCCACCCGCCCGGCCAGGGCTACCAAAGCCAGCACCGCCACCCCCTCCTGGACAGCGGGAAACGCCAAGCCCCTGCTCGAACTAGGGGACCTCCTGGAGGGGTGCGCAGCCCTCTGCTGACCGCGGAGCCAGGCAGGAGCTCCCAGGCCGCAGGCACCTCGCAGGAAAAGAAATCCGATCCTTCTTTCGGGCCAGTGGGATCCAAGGTGGAGAGGTGGTGGGAAAGAAAACTGCGGGCTCCAGCACCCCCGGGTTGGGAAGTAGCCTTAGGAGTCCGGGGCGTGCGGTAGCCCCGGGCCGGAAAGAAAAATGCTCCCTCCCTTCCCCGGAGTGGGCCCCTCCAGAATTGCCCGCACGGGCTTGGAGAGCTGGGGGTCCCCACCTTGCCTCCCAGCCTCCCAGCCCTTGGCCTCCAGGGTGGGGTTACACAGGACCAAGCGCAGCTACGGGATCCCAGAGCGTGGGCCGCCACTTCTCCGCAGGGGAACAGCGACTGTACAAAGCGGCCGAAGGCAGGGGGAGGAGGGGGTGAGCGGACAGCTGCGCCCTCCCCAGCCCCAGCCCAGGTGGGGAGACAGAGAACGCGACCCGAAGGGGAAAACTCAGAGCGTCGGGGGTCGCAGCCTAGGGACCCCTGGGCAGTCGCCGTGCGACGGCGACAGGGCCCGACCCTGGGGAGTAGGGGGACAGGTGACCGAGACACCGGTTCGCTCACCTTCTCCTGCGCGCGGGTGAGCTTCTTCTGTACATTGCTGGCGATCTTCCCCGCCGTCACCCCCTTACTGCCCATCTCTGCCATCGCGGCGCCGGCCTCGCCCGGTGGCGGGGGCCCTATCTTGCTCTGGGAGGCCGTGCGCGCCGCGCTCCCAGCCCCCAGCCCCGGCCGCGCGTCCGGCCCCGGCTCCTGTCCACGCCGCTCACTAGTCAGCGGAGCCGACTGACGGAGGCGGAGCGTGCGTTGGGCTAGCGAGACAGCGACGCTGGGACCCGGGAGGGACGGACGAACCGAGGAAGGGGGCAGGGAGGAGGGGCTGGGCCTCGGGCGGCGGTCAGCTCCCCCTGCCCGCCCCCTCCGGACAAGACACTGCCTTTTAAAGGGCCACCCCTCGCCGGAACCGCACAGCCTGGGAGGAGGGAGTCTGCTTCGAGGACGCCGGGTGCTGCGGCGAGAGGTACTCCCAAAACGCTCGGGTGACACCGCCCCGGGGCGGGGCCTAACACGACAGTCTGGGGTCCAGGACCGCCGCGGGCCCGACGCTTTGGTCCTCTTACCCAGCAGTCACCTCCTGCAAGTCTGGAGGATTGAGAACTTTCGAAAATCAAAGATAATGTGGTGTGATTGGTACGTGGTCAAGGAGCCTCGACTGGAAGAATATGGCCCGAGAGTCCAGCCTTTCGGGGGCTCGCCTCCAGCTGGATTCCTAAAGCTCCGCCTTCTCGTTGCTGGTAGCCTCACAAGTCTCTCTGCACGCCTAGGGCACATCTCCAAGTCTTTCCCTGGCGCCTAGCCCTGTGCCATCTTAGGGCTCGGTCTTTCCAAGTTGCCAGTAATCGTGATCATAATAACCACCTAACATTACTGCGCACTTACTGTGTGCCTGGCACTGTGCTGTTTTGACAACCATTATTTCCTTCAGTCTCCAGACAGCCCTATGAAGTAGGTGTTGTTATTCCCGTTCTACAAACAAGACATTAAGACGCCTGAAACAAGATTTCTGACCATGTGCCTGGTTCTCCACCGCTCAATACTGAGTTGTTTCCTAATTCCTGCAGACAGGAAAATAATTAAGGATCATTTTCATGGAGAAGACAAGATTATTGTACGCCAACTTTGCCAACAGACCAACGTCAGTTATTATAAATTACAGAATTGGTTCCAGGACCTCAGCAAACTCCAAACCCCATGGATGCTAAAGTCCGTTATTTAAAATGGTGTAGTATATTTTTTTTAATAACCTACACATATCCTTTCTGGGTACTTTAAATCATCTCTGGGCAAATGCCAAGTAAATAATTGTTATACTGTATTGTTTAGGGAATAATGACAAGTGGAGAAACAAGAAGTCTGTAACATCTTCAGTACAGACACAATGTTTCCCCTTGAATATTTTTGATCCAGAAATATGGAACTCACAGGTACAGAGGATGAACTGTAATAAATATGTACATCCACTACCCCCAGAACATACCAAGAACTGTAAAGAATGTTGCCCTGGAAGTCTCTCAGAAACTATGGGCTGAGTTTAACAGAGACAAGTTAGACTCAGCTGTCCAGAGTATGAACAGGAGGCGGAGGGAGCCACACATCAGTCAGAGGTTCGGGCCTGGCCTAGGGTGGGGGGTCTCAGGACTGGGGGTTCCTGTAAGAAGGGTTCTTGCAAACTGCATGTGAAGCCCCTTGTACAAATAGAGACACTGAGGCCCTGGAATAAAAGATCCAGCCTACATTCATATAAGTGCATCTCTCTTTCCTGGGAGGCTCTCCTGCCTGCTCCTTAGTTGCTCCTGGTTCTTTCCCCCACCTTCCTCACTCCCCTGGTCTCCCTCCTGGCCTATTATTCTTCCTATTCTACAGAAAGACAGCAGGTTCAGCAGTTGCCTCACTGTTGAAAGTCACAGAGATCTCAAATGACAAGCACAGATCCAGCCCTCAAAACTAATGAGCACTGCGTAAATAGAAAGCATTCTGTCGAATCTATTATAAACTTGTGCTTCATTCAGGAGCTCCTAAAACATGTCAACAGCCCGGGTTCCTAAGGCAGCTTTCTCTTGAAAGCTCAACATGCTTTCAACTCACTGTTCCTCTCCACCTAATTTTAAGACTGTCAATCATTCTTTCAAAATTGTTTTTTGGGCTGGGGATGTAGCTCCATGGTAGAGAGCTTGCCTCACACATATGAGGCACTGGGTTTGAACACTCTGTGTTCCATCTTCAGCACAGGGGGAGGGGAAGTGATTTCTTCCAGTGCTCCTCTAAGGAGAGGAAGAAATGAGCAGAAGTCAAATTCTGTTATAGTCAGCCCCCCGGGAATAGTAGGAGATTCTGCTTGGCTGGACATTGGTGTTTCAAAATATCACTTGAAGGAAAAATAGGAAGCAACTGAAATGTTCATCAGTGGAACAGGGTCAGTCATGACTATACAGAAACCAGAGGGGCCATTAGGGAATCATTTAAAATAACCATGACAAAGATTATGTGGCAATATGAAAATGATGCTTATGGCATAGTTATGAGTGCAAAGAGCAAGATAGGAAATTGCATATGCAGTACCCTTACAACCACATAAAAATTAATTAAATAGGATCAAAAGATTCAACCATGCATCAAAATAGAAAGTAGTTGCAATAGGGTCAAGGCATTGTGGCTGATATTTTCCCCCTTCATTTCCTAAGTATCCTAAAATATATTGCCTTCATCAAAAGAACCACATGTCCTTCTATTTTGAGACAGTGTCTCACTAAGTTGCTTAGGGCCTTGTTAAATTGCTGAAGCTAGCTTCAAACTCACAATCCTCCTGCCTCAGCCTCCTGAGCTTCTGGGATTACAGGCATGTGCCACCACCTCTGGCCCTTTAAAAGTGATTCTTTATCTAATGTCTAGATCAGACTTCCCTAAACACAAAAGCATTGAAGCATATATGAAATTTTTAAATGATAGTTTTTAAGTGCATAAAAATTAAAATTTTTGAACTTCAAAAACTGCAGTCCACATGTAGGATAAAAGTTTAGAAGAAAATACTTCAAAAATGTTAATACAAATCAAAGAGGTAGAATTTAGGAGATTTTTACTTTCTTCACAATTTTTTATAATATGCTATTTTCTTTTAATCGGGATAGGTCATTATTTTAAATATCAAAGGGAAAACTTTCCGTTTTGAAGTCTGACATTTAAAAAATAGTGTATATAGAAATATTTTTTAAGTTCATTTTAAAAACAGTAAGAGCCCTATTTATAAATGGTAAAATAGTACAGATGGATAATTCACAAAATTGGATATTTGAAAATTAACAAATAGATTTTTTAATTTCACTCTTTACCAGACAAAAAGAGATGTTCATTAAACCAACGGATACCTTCCCTGACCTACTTTCATAATAATTTTTGTGTGCATGGTACTGGGGATTGAACTCAGAAGCGCTCTACCAGCTGCAATCATTTTTATTTTTCATTTTGAGTCAGTGTCTCACTAAGTTGCCCAGGCTCTCCCCAAACCCGTTATCCTCCTACCTCAGCCTCCCAAATCACTGGAATTGCAGGCTTGTACCATTGTGCCCAGCAACTGATTTTTTTAAAAATTATCTTACTTATGAAAACCAGAGAGACAGAAACTCTCACTCACTGCTTCTCAGAGTACAAACAGATACAAAATTTCTAGAAAGCAGTTTGCAATAGTCTAAGAATCATCAAAATATTCACACTCTTCAACCCTACAATCCCAAGTCCAGGAAATAATTCAAAAATTTCAGCAACACTTTAACCACACAGATGTCCACCACATTATTTAGAATGGTGCAAAACTGAAAACATCCAATATGCTACCATCATCATTCTGAATGATTAACTAAACTATGTGTAATGTCATACATGAAATGTTTACCAGAACGATAATGCTTGTGAAGTTTTTCGTGATGGTAGAATAATGCAGAATAGAACCAACCACTATCCAAAATGCGATTGCTATTTCTGGGTGGAGTAATTTGGGAGGGAGGATTTGGGGGTTTGTTTTTCTTATTCTTTGTTTTTTTACTTTCCCAACTTTGTATATGTCCTATTTTAGTCATCAGATAGAAATGCTATTAAAAATGCGAACTGAAATGAAGAAACTCTCCTAGAACAATAATTGAGAAACCACAGATGTGGCCAAATAGAAAGAGAAATCTCAGAGTCAGAGAGTATATGCCATGTGTTTGAACTTCAAGGACTGGAGAAATTATGTTTGCTTGTTTGTCTTTAGTAAACTAAATATTCTACAACCGTTTTTAAGTTCTCAAGAAAATTGAGTGGAAGATACAAAGATTTCCTGTATCCTCCCCTCAACACATGCACAGCCTCCCCCACTATCAACAACCCTCCCACCCCCAATGGTACCTTTACTGCCATTGATGAACTACATTGATACACCATTGCCCCCCAAAGCTCATAGTTTACATCACGGTTCACTCTTGGGGATATACATTCTGAGAATTTAGACAAACGTATAATGACATACATTTACAATTAGTGTATCAAACGAGTAGTTTCACTACCTAAAAATCCTTTATGGTCCACCTACTCATCTCTACACCCTCACCCCTTAGCATTCACTGATCTTTTGACCTTCCCCATAGTTTCTCCATTTCCAGAATGTCAGATAGTTGGAATCACACCCATGTAATGCATTCAGATTGGCTTCTTTCACTTGATAATATGCATTTAAGTTCCCTCCATGTCCTTCTGTGGCTTGATAGACTGTTTCTTTTCAGCACTAATAATATTCCATGATCTGGAGGTAGCAGTTTATCCATTTACCTATGGAAGGACATCTTGGTTGTTTCTAAGGGTCGGCCATCATGAATAAAGCTGCTGTAAACATCTATGTACAGGTCTTCATATAGACCTAAGTTATAGACTCCTTGGATAAATATCGAGGAATTCAATTGCTGGATAAATGGGAAGGGTATGTTTAACGTTGTGAGGAACTGACCAACCATCTTCCAGAGTGGTGGGGCCATTGTGCATTCACACCAGCAATGGATGCCAACATTGGGTGTTGTCAGAGTTCTGGATTTTGGCCATTCTGGTATATGTGTGTGTCGGTGTCTCATTGATTGGAAAGTGTCTGTCTGCCTGTCTGTTTTTTGTTTGTTTAAACCATGAGGAACACAGGCAAGCCAAAAGGAGTCCTCCTTTCCCTTGGAAAGAAAACAGCATTCCCCCATGTTCCCTTTTATAATTAAAGAATTAAAGGCTCTGAACGAGTACTATCAGCAGCAGCAGCAGCAGCATAATTCTCTTATGAAGCAAGATTTCTGTTATTTATACATTTTGGGCTGTCAAAATAATCCTGTGTTTGACAAAAGCAGGATTTTTTGCTACCCTTTT